CTGATATCCTACCTCTTCGTCCTCTTCCTCTGCTTCCTCCTTTTACCCCCCCTCCCCTCCTCGTCCTCCTCACAGAACAAGGAGTCGTGGGAGAACGAGACCGACGTCTTCATCACCCCGGGGATGAGACATGAGAACATCCTGAGATTCATCGCTGCAGAGAAACGAGGAAATCACATGGAGACTGAACTGTGGCTCATCACTGAGTTCCATGAGAGGGTGAGGAGGTGGGAGGAGGAGGGAGGAGGAGAGAGGAAACAGCAGAATCAGAGGCCAGTGGACTTAGAAGATCATATTTACTAGAAGAAAGGTTCAGGAACATAAATAAATAAGGAGGCTCTGGATGATGTGGATCTATGTAACGAGGCTCTGGATGATGTGGATCTATGTAACGAGGCTCTGGATGATGTGGACCTATGTAACGAGGCTCTGGATGATGTGGGTCTATGTAACGAGGCTCTGGATGATGTGGGTCTATGTAACGAGGCTCTGGATGATGTGGATCTATGTAACGAGGCTCTGGATGATGTGGGTCTATGTAACGAGGTTCTGGATGATGTGGGTCTATGTAACGAGGCTCTGGATGATGTGGGTCTATGTAACGAGGTTCTGGATTATGTGGGTCTATGTAACGAGGCTCTGGATGATGTGGGTCTATGTAACGAGGTTCTGGATTATGTGGGTCTATGTAACGAGGTTCTGGATGATGTGGGTCTATGTAACGAGGCTCTGGATGATGTGGGTCTATGTAACGAGGCTCTGGATGATGTGGATCTATGTAACGAGGCTCTGGATGATGTGGGTCTATGTAACGAGGTTCTGGATTATGTGGGTCTATGTAACGAGGCTCTGGATGATGTGGGTCTATGTAACGAGGCTCTGGATGATGTGGATCTATGTAATGAGGCTCTGGATGATGTGGATCTATGTAAGGAGGCTCTGGATGATGTGGATCTATGTAACGAGGCTCTGGATGATGTGGATCTATGTAACGAGGCTCTGGATGATGTGGATCTGCAGGGTTCTCTGTGTGACTTCCTGAAGGGGAACATCATCAGCTGGTCAGAGTTGTGTCACATCTCTGAGTCGATGGCGCGCGGTCTCGCTTACCTGCATGAAGACGTCCCGCCTCTAAAAGGAGAGGACGCCAAGCCGGCCGTTGCCCACAGGTAGCCAGTGATGTCATGGTGTCCATAACCCCAGATGCGATGTCAAATGCGTCAGAGACTCCCGGGTTGTGATATCAAGGGCGTCTCTCAGGGACTTTAAGAGTAAGAACATCATGCTGCGTTATGACCTCACCGCAGTCATCGGAGACTTCGGCCTCGCCATCCGTTTCTCGCCGAGGGAGCCACCAGAAGAGACTCATGAACAGGTGAGATGATGCGCCTCCCAACAGGAGACCATCACTCGCTCATGCACAGCCTCACCTGTGTGGGTGTGTGCGTGTGCAGGTGGGCACCACACGCTACATGGCTCCAGAGGTCATAGAAGGAGCCATCAGCTTCCACAGAGACTCCTTCCTGAGGATAGACATGTACGCCGCGGGCCTCGTGCTCTGGGAGATGGTGTCCAGCTGCAAGGCCGCAGACGGTAGGTCCCTCCTTGTTGTTGTTATTACACCTGAATGTGTACACATTTGTGTGTGTGTGTGTGTGTGTGTTAGGCCCAGTAGGGGAGTACCTGCTCCCCTTTGAGGAGGAGGTGGGACAGCATCCGTCTCTGGAGGACCTTCAAGACGTGGTGGTCCACAAGAAGACCAGACCGTCCCTCAAAGAACTTTGGCGCAAACACACCGTGAGTGTTACATCACATTACATTACATGTCATTTAGCTGACGCTTTTATCCAAAGCGACGTACAATAAGTTTCAACCATAGGGTACAAACTCAGGAGAACAAGAAACAAGAAAGTGCAATTTCCCTCAAATAAGCCAATTTACAATTTGCTATAGATGAGTGACGTTACAAGTACAATTTAAGTGCTACAATTTGTTAGTCTTTAGTCGAGGTAGAGTCTGAAGAGGTGTGTCTTTAGTCTGAAGATGTGAAGGCTCTCTGTGGTCCTGATGTCTTCACAGACCTCCTTCCACCATTTAGGAGCAGGACAGCAAAGAGTGGAGATCTAGTGGAGTGTTTTGCTCTCAGTGAGGAGGAACAAGCAGTTTATCACATGCAGAGCGGAGAGGTCAGAGGTCGGGATGTCGGGTTGGACCAGGTCCTGGATGTAAGCTGGACCCCATCCATTCACAGCATGATACCTGAGCACCATGGTTAGAACTGGATGAGCCACCGGTACCAGTGAAGAGAGTGGAGGAGTGGAGGAGTGAGGGAGAACATAAAGACCAGTGGAGCTGCTGCATTCTGGATGAGCTGCAGAGGTCGAATGGTGGTAGCAGGAGACCTGCAGGAGGGAGTTACAGTAGTGTTCTCCTGATGTTGTAGAGCGTGTATCTACAGGATCGCGTTGTCGCGGTGATGTTGGGAGTCAGGGAGAGTGGC